GGGGGGTATTTTCTGTTATTAAATTTCATGCAGAACTTTGTTTGGAGACCGTGATTAGGCTTATTTACTTCATATCATAGTCTAGCAACTCTATTTCTACGAGAAAGAAACGTGTTTTTTAAAGTCCATATCCTAATCAAGACGCTTGAAAGGCGTTGTTCTATCTCTTATACTTGAGTCACGGTGCCCATGTTTCCCTCAATTTCAGACAATATAAATGGTTAAAAGTCAACTTGATCACCACCCCCCCCCCCCACACACACACACCCTTTTTTCAACGTACTTACCTACGACGCATACTCGGAGTTAACACTCTCCCGAGGGCCATTTGTGGGTGGCCGTTACGCCATCCGCTAAACAATGTTGTGTGGTATTCACTTGTTGCGTCTCTGTTCAGTGTTCAATCGTCTCGTCTGTCACAGCGTTTGTGAGTGTCGCTCAGTGTGTCCTGTTGCTGTGCTGTGTCCAGTGTCTATTCATCCGTGTATCATCGCCAGTCGCTATCTTCAACTTGAACGAGTTGTATGTTTTTTGGTTAGTAAACCGAGCTGTCAAGTATGGCTCGTTTGCATTGATTTAGGAATGGTTTTAATTAAATTTAACAAGGTGTGTGTGTGTGTGTGTGTGTGTGTGTGTGTGTGTGTGTGTGTGTGTGTTTGTGGAAGGAGGTGTGGGGGGAGATGGGCGAGAAATAAGTGTGTGTGGGGGAGGGGGAGGGGGAATTCCATGGTGCCATGCGCGTAAAACACTTTAAAATTATTATAGCAATGAGGATTGGGGCGGGGGTAGGAGGTGGGAGGTGGGAGAGAGGGTGTTGAATTAGATTGTCCAGAAATTATTGTTACGAGTTTGTTCTGAAGTATAACATAGCTCCCTTCTTTGTTGCTTTTTGTGTTGTCCATTTTTAGATAAAGAATAGCAGTCGCCTCTCTATTAACTTTGCAGTTCTGAAATCTGAAATAAATCACATCGTACGAAAAGAAGCACAGCAGATCAGTTGTAATATTTAGAGCTTTAATTTAGGAGAGAAGTTTGTGTCAGGTGAGCTGCAGAACTAACATCTTAAAGAATTTAAGTATTAAAAAGCAAGCTACCATGGCCTAGAGCTATGCTGTTCTAAAAGTTTTGTTCGTTACGAATTTTTTTCTGCCGTACCAAACTTGAACTTACTCGTGAAGGAATATTATACTAATCCTACAACTGGTATCTTTTTGTATAATAATATTTTGATATTTATTTTCTTTTACTTTTCACATGGCCAATGGACAACCTCACGTGGCCTCTTTCTGCTGACTGCCATCGCCCGGAATTTGACAATGACAGAAAGACTCGTCCTCAGCTAAGCTCATGCCGCTGGTCACCGACCAGGGAGCAGTCAATGGCCAGGTTCCTGACCACGGATCCACCAAGAATGAGTACCCTGGACCACCTCAAGCCGTCTGCAGCATAGAACGAGAGTCAGCGATCGACTTGGCTAGGGAGGCCGAGATTGCCAACTCAGAAATGGACAAAAGGGAGAACCAGAAGTTGAGTATTAAGGATTTGATTTCTGATTCTGAGGATGAAAAACGTCGTCTAGTCACAAACTCGCCGCCTCTCGTTTCATCATTAATGTCTGCAGCACCATCTTTGTTGTCAGGGTTAAATGGAAGCAACAGAAATGGCGTAGGACCAATAGAGGAAACGATACCAAGACATGAGGGTGTCAACGATTCGTTCATATCACCCACACCGAGTACCACACAAACGAAAGAGGGCGTGGTGACCAAAATGTATCCTTATTGGTCGTGGGCACCGTGTTTTGACTGCGGCTGGACACGCCCACCTCGCTGTCACCACTGTCCAGTATGCAAAAGCTGTGTCCTCAAGAGAGACCACCATTGCTTTTTTGCTGGCGCGTGTGTCGGCTACAGAAATCATCGCTTCTTCTTCGTATTTCTCATCTGGGCATGGCTTGGTGCAGTGTACGCTACATTCCACGGATTCCCCTACATCAGTATTTACCTCTGGAACGAGATGTCCTGGGTCGACGTCGTTTTCCCAGTGTCTATCGTCAGGTATCTCCTCGGATACGTCTCCTTCCAGGTCGCTCTTTCTGTCACCACTCTCTCCTCCCTCGTATACTTCGACGCCCTCACGACTATGTTCATCTACGCCCATTGCTGCCTCATCTCATGGGGTCTCACGACGTTTGAGAAAACTTTCGTCAGACGCTCAGTTGAGATTAAGGACACGAGGACACTAAATCAGAAAATCCGTGCCGTGTTCGGACAACGCTGGATCATGGGATTTTTTCTGCCCACAAACTTTTTGTACGAGCCAGAGGAGGATCCAATAGAGTGGCCAGACATCCGAGTCTTTAAGCATTGATTATGTTGAAAGAAATGTTTTATAGTAGGGGTTGAAGATAATTTTAAAAACTCATTCTATCATATTAATTTTACTAAGGGTAAAAAGAACCACTTTGGGACGATAACAGCTATTTAGTACACATTATGTACAGGGGAAATGACAAAAAAAAGACTAGATCTAGATCTACCAGATGAAAGAAAAGAGGAAACACATTTTTTTAGAGGAATCTCCAACTATGGTGCAGTTTTACCGTTCACTTTAAAGCTCAAAAGCATAACGGGTTTATATTATGTAAGTTTTTGTTATGTTTTCTTGACAATTAATTAACGACTGACTGAACCAGGATATGTATATTATGATAAAAGTTATATCGATGTCTGATTGATTTGGATTGTCAACCCTCAGTACACGGGCGCTGGTCTTAGTAAACACCCCTCAGACCTTTGCCATTACTTTCACGCGTGCCTCAACCACAAGTGGTCTTGTTTGATGAAGCTTTAATTCATATTTTCACATAATAGGGTTATTTAAGAGGGTGCAATATCCGAATTCATTGTCCATCTCTGAGAAATACAAGGCCAACCGGGGAGAGGACCATTAACTCACGAGGGCGCTCATTCTGGTCTTTCGAAAGCTTGAAAACGTGCCACAGTGAAGTACAAAAAGAAAGTATACTTTTCAGTTTTGTTTTCTTTTTCTGAAACTTTAAAAAGGCTGGCAACTAGATCTACGTGCATACTGTGAAATGCTCGGGTTCGTGCTTGTGGATGAAAGTTTGAAATGATGTTGTGCCAAAACTTTAACTTCGGACATTATTATGTGTACGCTACGTCGGTAAAGATTTGACTCCCCAAACAACATAGTTAAAAATGAAGTTGGCGTGGTCGCCACTACGAGGACTTGAAGTCTAAAACATCACCAAGGCATGGGTAGCTTTTACAAGTTATTAATGGTTATTTGGACTTGGGTCTGGGAGGTCTGCATCAAAATTCAGCGTAATAATACTGACTGACATATTAGAATTCCCCTCGCAGGGTAAATATCTTGGAATTTTCAGTCAAGAACTTGGGTGCAGGGTCTTGGTGGCTCAAACGACCAGGGCTCGCTCGAAGGGCTAAAATCATACTGGCAGAGGTTGTGTTAACGAAAGCGTCATTAACGAAGTGAGGAGAGACTGAAAAGTGTGATAAATAGAACAGACAATATTATTATCACGTTTCCCAGTTATCGAGTCGCATTTAACTCAGTGTCATGAATAATGTCAAGCAGTGTCGGTGACACAGTATCTGGTGGGTGGTAACATGAGTGTGTTCTTTTGTATGACATGTCAGTCTTGGACAGAAAAACATGGCGCTGCAGAGTGAGTACTTGTAGGCCTAATGGTAGATAGGTGTGGTCTGTATTACGATATTAATGATATTGTGTAATGTGTGCTGCTGCTGATTTGATGTCTAGATCTGTTCATGTGTGATTTCTACTTGCCATTGTTACCCAAGCTTCACTCCTGGGAGCAATAAAAGTCATATTAATTTTGTCTCTTTTGTTACTTATACTTCGTAAGTGACAGAGTGACAGTGTGAGAGAGTGAGGGAAAGAGAGAGAGAGAGAGAGAGAGAGAGAGAGAGAGAGAGAGAGAGAGAGAGAGAGAGATAGATCTCTGTAACTGCCACAGGTAGCAAGCACACTTAAACAAACGTACAGCTTTCGTATACACGCAGAATGCTCTATTTCTATCCGAGCACATTGCTATCGGCGCATGGCCAGAACATTCACACACTGGTTCAGAATGTTTGCCTATTTACTCGTTCGTGTTTGCGTATTTTCTCAAAGGAAGCCGCGGACAGCTCTCCACCTGAGGGGTTTCTTGAGTTTAATATGAAGCAGCAATCACAGGCAAGAGGTCTGTTTTATTTCCTGAATGTCTTCAGAACAACCCCCTCCCCCACAGCCCTAAAAATGGGAATAAACGCACCAGTGAGCTGATTGTTTACCTGCTACAGACAGCACCTGCTCCCCCCCCCCAATCGTGTCCGTTTGTGGACGTGACGACAGCATTATTCAACTATAATTGGCTTCGTCTCAATCGTCGTTTATGCCACCAGTTACAGTCAGTGCCTGCAGTATTAACAATTTATGCTGTAGATATTGATTAAGGTCCATCCCCATGTTGTTTTAATTTAACATGAACGCAAAACGTTTAGTATTTCAGAGAAGTAAGTTACAGCTAAAAACTGTATAATTCAAATCAATTATAATATATCAAGGCATGAATCAGCAGTGCGTGACTTGACCAATTAAAAAAACAACAACCCCTACCTGTAAACGCAAGTACTGAGGCACCCGTTCACAAAATACTACCAAAACAGATCTAAATAAAATTCCCCCCC